GTTCGAGCGAGCGAAACAGTCGTCGGGACACCGCGTATTGCTCACGTATAGACGAGACAGTGTGAGTCAAGCGTTTTCTTAGTGTGTGTCACACGTATTTTAGGACGGCATTTCTGTCCAGACGTCTTATAATGCTATTTCTCTCGTTCTTACGTTTGCGATAGAGGATGGAAGATCGCCGCGACTCCCACCCATAGACGTATATAACTAGACTGCGCATGCTATGCTAGCCGTTGAAGCAAACATTTAAAAAGAGAAAGCAATATCGGGAGGATCTCTGTCTCACTCTAAATCACCCGTAGAGGGGGAAGTGAACTCTTTTCCTCTCAAGACTTCAGTAGCAGCAGGAGCGAAGCAGACAACATTCTGTAACTACCATAGACGTATATAACTAGACTGCGCATGCTATGCTAGCCGTTGAAGCAAACATTTAAAAAGAGAAAGCAATATCGGGAGGATCTCTGTCTCACTCTAAATCACCCGTAGAGGGGGAAGTGAACTCTTTTCCCCTCAAGACTTCAGTAGCAGCAGGAGCGAAGCAGACAACATTCTGTAACTACCATAGACGTATATAACTAGACTGCGCATGCTATGCTAGCCGTTGAAGCAAACATTTAAAAAGAGAAAGCAATATCGGGAGGATCTCTGTCTCACTCTAAATCACCCGTAGAGGGGGAAGTGAACTCTTTTCCCCTCAAGACTTCAGTAGCAGCAGGAGCGAAGCAGACAACATTCTGTAACAACCATAGACGTATATAACTAGACTGCGCATGCTATGCTAGCCGTTGAAGCAAACATTTAAAAAGAGAAAGCAATATCGGGAGGATCTCTGTCTCACTCTAAATCACCCGTAGAGGGGGAAGTGAACTCTTTTCCCTTCAAGACTTTAGTAGCAGCAGGAGCGAAGCAGACAACATTCTGTAACTACTATAAGAAAAGCGCTGTAATTGATATATTTATTTAATAAATTATAAAGATGGTTAGATATTGTTGTATGTGCAAAGTGACATCAGGTCAAATCAGCAATGTATATTTTCATAGGTTAGTAAATTTAATTTATATATGTATATATATACGTATATATACAAATAGTTTGTATGTATATTTGCACCAATAACATAACCCAAAAATTTTTTACAGTTTACCAAAAAATGAAGAAAAAAAACGGGAATGGATGGATGTAATAGGACATCCAGTAAGCTTACACAGTTCTGTGTGCAGTAAACATTTTAATGAATCCGATTTTGTGTACAAAACTATTGGAGCTTCTATAAAAAGATTTTTACATGATGCAGCTGTACCATTTGCAGAATTATGTGATGTTGACAAGGAATCATCTTCAAAAATGAATCCTGATGAAAATGCAGTGAACATGGTCAATGATATGCAAGATACAGTTGGTCAAACACCGACATTTACTCAAGTTTTAGACAATACATTATCTTCCTTAGGAGTATTTGAAAATGTAATTAACATTGGTAATAATAAAGATACCAATGTTAGTAATGAAAAAAATATGTTGACTGTACAAAGTAGCACTGAAACATTGAACATTTCTAGGTGTAAGAAAGACAATAAATCAAGTGCAACGGAAATTGAAAGTATACATCACGTCACCTCTTTAAAAAGGTATTTGATATCAAAGTAATATTTATGTATGTATGTTAGTAGTAGTTTGCAAATTTGTGTATTGATGGTTATTTTTTACTGATTTTTTATATTTATTATTTGTATTCATATCATTAGCTATGTAATAATTAAGTTTATATAAAAAATTGCAGGACATCTAGTCATACGAATGAAAATGTTAAAAGATTGTGTATAGCACGGTACATAGGAGATTTGAAAAGGGAAGATTTTACATCTGATAGAAGTTTTGAAATTTTCAGTGATTTTCGTGAAGAAATGCTGAAACATAAAAAAATATGTAAGCAGTCTATAAATAGATTAAAAAAAAAAATCTCTAATGTACAAGATATGTACAATCACCTTAAAAAGAATGGTCTCCTTTTTAATGAAGCTTCTGATGCTTTGAATGTAAGTACGTTACTCAGTGAGGATAAATGATGTGAAAATGTAACAATAGTCAACTATGCAGTTTATAAACAACAAATTGAATACATGAAATAGTACCTTGTTTGCTTCAATTTCTTGTGTATGAAGTTTAGCGTTATTATTAAATTGATGAATGAAAATATATTCAGCCCTAACAGCAAATATTTCTAATAGTGAGACTTAAATATGTATTACCTATTTTATTTTATTTTTTGATAGAAATATTTAACTTGTAAAAAGCACAGAGATTGTAATTATTATTTTATTTTTACACTTATTTTGATACTTATTTTTGTAAGTTATTTTTAACCAGCGAATCTAATGTAATCACATATTTTTCCAGATTTATATATAATACAAATATTGTTTTCTCGTAAACATAGGAAATGTGTAAATTAAATTAAATTATAATTAAGTAGCGTTTATAATTTTTTTGTCCAAAGAATTTAAAGCATTCACTACTTTCAAACACTTGAAATGAAGCTCTTAACTTCTAAATTACATAAATTTTTATTTCAAAAGAAGGCAAGTTAATATGTAAGTAATTTTAAATAATTTTTTTTATGAATTTTTTTTAACTATTATAAAATTGTTTGTCCTATATAGAATGAAAAAATAAAATTAAGTACCAACTAAGTAACTGCTCTGTGTATGATAATACATAACAACTTATAAAATTAATAACAATTTTTACATCAATATAATGTTTTTCATAATAATTTCATTTACGTTAATATTTTCTTCCATTTCTCTTTTTCCTAGATATGTTCCTCTCCAGCAGTCTCTGAAATTATTAACAAACTTTTAAATAAAAAACAAAAAAGCTTTTCTCCAGCACTGAAACAATTTTCCTGCACTCTGTTGTATTACTCCTCTAGTGCTTATAAATACGTTAGGGAAGAATTCCTTCACTCCTTGCCTCATCCTCAAACGATCAGGAGGTGGTTCACAACTGTTGATCTAAGCCCAGGAATAGGAAAACCTATTCTCGACAGTTTAAAAAATATTATTGATGAAGAAAGAGAGAAAGGAAAAGATTTGCAGTTCGGCTTGCAAGTCGATAAAATGTCAATTAAGAAACAATTGGAATTTCGGAATAATGTATGGCATGGAACAGTGGACATCGGATCTTGGAGTGGAAAAGCACAAGAAAACTCCCAAGCTTCGTATGCATTGGTTTTCATGCTTGTTTGTTTAAACGGCCACTTCAAAACACCTATCGCCTACTATTTTATTAACGGTCTATGCAGTGACTCAAGAGCAAATATTATCAATGAAATTTTAACATCTTTGCATGAAAACGGTATAAGTGATATAAGATCTTTAACATTTGATGGGGCTCCCTCAAACATCACAATGGTACAGAA